ATGGGTCTAGGGAGCTCTGGTTTTGCAAAAAAGGAACGAAAAAGAAGAAGTCATGTGATTGCTTTTTGTTTGTTGATTCCACCAAAAAAGACTAGATTACAGAGCATAATTGGGTGCTTTCTTGTTCATCATCCAACACACATAATTAAAGATAGGAAAGAAGAGTGATGAGTTTGGATGGTGGAAGAGGGAGAGTGCAGAGGATGGTAGTCTTGGATTCTGCTCTGATTTTAATTGAGTGAGTGCCCTTCTTCGATTGGTTCCATCCCAACCAGTTTCAGAACCTGAAAAACAAGGCAAAGGGGCAGCTATTTTGTTAGTTGTTAAAATCATAATGAAAATAGAGGCTAATGAGTAAACCAAATTAAATCAGATGCATGTTCAGTAAATATAAAATTAGTGCCTTTTTGGTTTTGGATTTCTTTTGGAATGTTCAATGTTGGAACAAGAAAACAAGATCTACTGCATGATAGAGCAAAAGAGTCTTTAGAGTGGAATCTAACTGTGAGTTTGCAGGAAAAGGGTTATAAGATTGAGCTCTGGTTTTTGGGAGAGAAATGAAGATGGAAAGTTAGGTGGTTGTTCTTTATTAATTGATCAAACCATGCGATCTCTACCGAAAGGCCAAGAAATTTCCATTGCCTATCTTCAAAAAAAGGACCAAGAAATTAAGCACATTCCATTGCCTATCTTTAAAATAATAATAAAAAAAAAAAAAAAAAAAAAACAAACAAGGGAGGAATCTTGTGAAATTACCTTTCTATGAATTTGGAGTGGAAGAGTGAAAATGAAGATATGGATCTTAGATTGAGTTTTGATTTAAGTGATGGGTCTTCTTTGCTTTGATTTATCCCACCCGGTTTCAAGCCCAGAAAGACTGCAAAAGGGCGACAATTGTCGCCTGTCAAACATAATTAATGAGAAGAAAGGCAGATAATATATGGACAAACCCAAATGAGATGCAACAAAGTAAATATATATGTACCTTTGGCCTTGGATTTCCACTAGAATGATCAATATTGAGAGCCAGCTTGCAGAGGATGAGCCTTGGAACAAGAAAACAAGAATCATGACAGAGCAATCAATGAATGGGTCTAGGGAGCTCTGGTTTTGCAAAAAAGGAACGAAAAAGAAGAAGTCATGTGATTGCTTTTTGTTTGTTGATTCCACCAAAAAAGACTAG